TTAAATATTTATTATAATGTATAATTCTAATTTTACAAAAAAATTATCATAAAATAAAAAATATTATTACATTATCATATGAATGATTATTCTAATATATGAATTAACTATTTTTATTTTATTAAAAAATAATCATTAAATAAAAAATATTGATTATATTATAATATGAATTATCATTACAATTTTCAAACATTATTATAAAGTCAAATTAAATAATTAATTTGAAATATTAAATTAAATCATAATTAATCAAATCAGATCAGATCAGATCCAATCAGATCAGATCAGATCATTCCAATCAGATCAGATCAGATCCAATCAGATCAGATCCAATCAGATCAGATCAGATCCAATTAGATCAGATCAGATCAGATCCAATCAGATCAGATCAGACCAGATCAGAACAGAACTTATTAGAATCAGATCAGATCAGAAAAAATAAGTTGAACGGAACAGAGCTTAACTCCATGTTTATTGTCTACAAGTGCAAGTGGTAACTCCATGTTCTCTTTTTGGTTCAATGTCCTGTAAATGAAGGAAAGAGATATGAGCCATTAATCATGCAAAGAAAGCGCAATAAGTACTCGAAAGACACAATAGAACTTGATAAAATACAAGGGAGAGTCACACTCCAAAAGCTACTTATTAGAGCACTGACAATGACAAGACAAAAATGAAATACCACACGGTGACATGGATGATTTCAACCAATAAAAAGTAACCCAATCACCGTGTGGCAAATGAGTGGAGTGTCGTAACATACAGTGGCAAGTCGTTATTTTTGTCTATTTTTGCACTTTTTAATGATTTTTAATTATAAAAAATTATTTTAAAAATCTATTTTATTATTAAAATATGTTTACTTCTTTTAAAAAATATTTTTTTCAAAAATTATTAATATTAAAAATATTTAAAAAAATAAAAATGAGAGAGTCATGCCTTGCACATGGAATGAAAAGTAGAGTGGAATGGCCATGGAATGCCATGATTTGAGTGGAATTTGCTGACATGGCAAGGCATTGCCTTGCCATTGTGAATGCTCTTAGGGTGGGATAACTCTTGGCTAAATAAATCCCACACCAATCACCTAGTTGACCGTTGTGGGATTCATATTTTAATACGTATCATACACCCTCATAAGTCCCAATGTCCTCGTTGATAATGACTACTTTAGTAACGGTTAGTTTCACCATGCCACCACTCCATGGGCCTTCACTCTCTAGGCCACCACTCAGAGTTGGCTCCGATATCAGTGATATAGCAAAAGTGAGATCACATACTCACATTCCAAAAACTAGTTGTAAAGGTGCATGATAGAACCCTTGACTAAATAAATTCACCTCAGTCTCTCATTTGACCCGCGTGGGGTCCCTGTTTTAATCAGAACCGGAAACATTTAAATTTTCTTTTGTTAGCAATGAACTCTACACACAATGCGTCAATAAGTACTCGTTTATGTTAATGATTTCTTTCCATACATTGTCAAATGAGTAAACATAACTACAATTATGTGGAGATAGATGATTTCATCAAAGTGTTATTTACTCATTAGTTAAATAAAAAAAATATTTACAAGAGTAAGGGCACCTGATCTGATTCTCATATAAACTTATAAAAGTTTCGATAACCTCTATTATCTGATCTGAATATTGTAGGTCTAGTTTAATCTGATTTCAACTAAAATTTGTATGTATTTTCTATCAGATCATGTGATTCGATCTAACTGAAAAGAAAAAGGAAAATTCTTAGAGAACCTCACTTCGTAAAAAACAGATTCACACATATTTGGTATAAACTTACCAACTCAGGATACATGAAGTGAGGTTTTTCTAGCACCATCTAACGAAAAATTGATCACGGAGAAAACAGCCACGTGGATGAAGGGCAGACGCGTGTCAACCTGGGAGAGCAGCACGTCATCATCACGACCATTCCTTCGGAAAAGAACAGTAATAATCATCGTCATCCTCACAGGACAGGTGTCATCACCCCACCCATTTTTCATGCATATAAGGTGTTCGACGTTTGTTCCCAAAGAACAAAAATTTAAAAAACCCAGTTTGTGAGCCGCCTGTTACTACATACGCAAGTTAGAGGGCGATTTTAGTAGAAAATAAATAATATCAGAGTGGGAGAAGAAGAAGATAAGAAGAGGAATGGCGTCGCAGCAGCAGGACAGGGCGGAGCTTGACCGGAGGGCCAGGGAGGGGGAGACGGTGGTGCCTAGCGGAACCGGCGGCAAAAGCCTCGAAGCCCAGGAGCGTCTTGCTGAAGGTTCTTTTCCTCTCCTCTTTATTAACAACAGAAAGAATTACTTTGTTAGCAGCATAAAACTGACTGAAAAGAAAAGTAAGACGATTGATTCAGGACAAGAAGTATATATGTTTTTAATTTATGTGGCTTTTCAAAATACGAAAAGATTTACTAGTAATTTTTTTTATTTTTACACGAATTTAAAAATAAATAATATTTTAAATCGAACCGTGTCGCAAGCTATAATGTCAATTGTTTTTTGTGGAACGCGTGTTGCAACAGGAAGGCACAAAGGAGGAGAAACTCGGAAGAAGGAACTGGGGACCGAAGGGTATCAGGAGATGGGACGCAAAGGCGGTCTCAGCACTGGAGACGAGTCCGGTGAGGAACGTGCCGCTCGCGAGGGCATCGAGATCGACGACTCCAAGTTCCGAACCCACAAATAAACTTCACCTTCTCAATAATGTATATGTATATATAGTCGTCTACCTTACGTACCTAGCCAGTTTTTCAAAATCTCTGGTTTCTTTTGCTAATGTAATAATAAGATCGACGATCGGTCGGGTCGAGTATCCGACCCGACCGCGTTCGGAAACTATGTAGGTGGTCATGGTAACGGTAAGGTAGGTGTAGTGTAGTGCGTGTGGGGTTGTTTTTTACTCTCAATGAATAAATCTGGACCTTTTTATGGTCTTTGTATAGAAACATATATATATGCACCTCTTGTATGTTACTATCAGCATGTACTCCCCTACAATGAAGTAACAATAGCAAATGAGAATCTGGGGATATCGACGTAGTGGATAGAGGCAACAATTAACCAAAGACCAAAAGCTATTTGATCTACTTATGTTGTACACTTTGGTGGTATCCACCATTATAAGGTGCATCACATTCAAGTACTATAACAATAGAACAACTATTGCCAAAGGGCACAATGCTTTCAGATAGAAATGAAACGAAACGACAAACACAAAGATTAATTTATAGAAATATGATCACATTATGAAAGAAATCAATGGCAAAGGGGTAATCAAACAACAAATGTTGAGAGTGACTTGAGACCAAACCTAAAAAATATAGAATATGCATACATAGATACAACAACATCAGCAATTCATCCATGTTTTCTTGGAACTGAGAAAACCAGCCAGTATGATTACTACTACTACTACTAGCACCCAATCATCACTAAGTATGAATCAAAAGGGGATATTTGAGAATAATCATGATGATTGAATCAGGAAAATAGAGGAGAAAGAAGATGGCGATTCAGGTGTACAAGGACCAATCGGTCCAAGCGCCCGAAACATGTCCATTCTCACAGACATAGGCTCGAACGACCTGCTCGCCATCTTCGTGGAACCCGAAATACCTTCTGAGGCAGAATGCAGAGTACAGGTCCCAGGTGTGTTTGGCAGTGCAGAATGCACAGTTGAGATCTGTTTGTTTCCTGTTCCCGTCGTTGATCGTCCTCCAAACCCTAGACTGCTTGAAGTTCTTGAAGATTCCTCTGAAAAGCATGTAGTTCCTCTTCTCCTCGACGTGGAGGCAGCCCGGCCATTCGGAAATGTAGAGGCGATCCTCTCTGAATCTACTCGCGAGGAGCTTAATCCCTTGCTCGCGGCTCAAATTCCACGCGCCGGACGCCATGTGAGAACAACGAGATCTGACGGTTCTTCTCCTCTTAGATCTGAGAATTCCGGCTGAATCTCCCGCCGCCGCTTCAGACGGAGGATCCTCTCCGGATCGGGACGATTCGGAAGCATCGCAGAGCGTATCAAACATCAGATCGTCAAACAATGACCAGCCGCAATCAGGTTGTTGGGAGCCGCCATCAACCGCGCTCTTGACGAGAGGAGGATGAGGAGGAGGATCCTCCTCGGAGACGGAGGCGACAGCTCGGAAATCCTCATCCGGGCCGAGCTCGCGCTCGAGGCCGAAATCGGAACTCTCCAAGAGCACGCCGGAGTGAAGGAGGCCAGGGCAGCAGAAGGCCAGCTTGTAGAGAGAAGGCCAGCCGCACGGAGGAGCCGCGGCGGAGGCATCTGAGACGAGATCGGCGACGACGGAGGGAATCGTCTGCGAGCACTTGGATTCGCAGCAGAGGTTGCGGATGAGAGAGGAGAACTTGGTGGAGACGCAGGAGAGGCGGGCCCAATGGCGAGGGTCGCCGTCGAGCTTGTGGAAGATGTTCAAAACGATGTCGTCCGAGAGCTCCGAGAATGCATTCTCCTTCTCCTCCACCTCCTCCGCCATTGCCATCTCTCTGTGCTGAGAACACCTCTCAATGAGTGGAAGATAAAATGAGGGTTGGGTGGGTAATTGTGTATTTTGACTCTCAACGGGCAAACCCGATTGATAGACGTCTATCAAAAATTGTTTTTAGACATTTCTTTTATCTTGATCTCATATTCTGATTGCTTGAAAGAAGTTTCGATATTATCTGATTTGAGTGTAATTATATTTAAAATTATTTTTAATTTGATTCCAAAAAAATAAGTAATACTATCTCCGTCTCAGAGTATTTGTCCATTTTCATTTTTACACATCATCCAATACATTTATTTAATCCATTTTATCTTGTAATTTTTATATTAAAAAATTATAAAAATTATATATTAATGATCTATATGTTAAGACAAATCAAACAAGATCACACATGACTATATTTAGGCTTACACATTGAGAGAATTTGATGAGTCAAAGTGCTTAGATGAACAGTTCCAAAAGTCAAAATTGGACGAATACTCCGGGACGGAAGGAGTACTTCGTATGTAATAATAAAATAAGTTGAAGAGAACATGGTCTTAATGAAAAGGATTGTTATTTGAGTACATCATGCAAGTAGAGCTTTTTATCACTCATCACCTAATCCATCACCGACTCATTCATATTTACTTTAAGATAGATTAAAATTCAAAATATTAACTTTGTTGAGTATATAAGTTATTTCTACTTTCTAATGTTTTAATTAGGGAGGAGCACAGTCTGAAACGTTCAAGTAAACTATTAGGATGGTATCATACCATTACTATTCAAATAGGTTCGGTACAGTTTGGATTTTGTCCAAAAACCAATCAGTACGGTACCCATTTAGGATGAGACGGTTAAATAACATACTATTGCCAAATGTATATAAATTACCAAAGAGCAATGCTAGGGGTACACCAAAAGTGTACCCCAAATGTACACCACCCCCTTCTCCACCACACATTTTTATTTAATTTTTATTTATTTATTTATTTTTGATTATCTTGCCCATTTATGTGGACAAGGAGGGGTGGAGGACAAATGGGGTACACTATTAAATGGTGTACCCCTAGCATTTTTCATTACCAACATTATAAAAGCTTCTGATGTGGGCTACACACCTAACATGCATATGATTCCTTACCAAACTAGATTGTGCATCACCACAAGTATAAAGCTTGTCTCTTAACAAGTCTAGTTTTGTTTGGTTAGCATAAGCATTATCATAGCAGAAGCTTGTCCAAACTCTGCCATGGTAAGTGTTTGATTCCCATATAGGCCTTGTTTGAATATTGGCTGTTGACAGTTCGTTCCAGCTGTTGTGAATGATTGTTTAGTTTAGCTGGTTTGACCGGCAGGATGAATTGGTTGATCGTTAAAAATGTTTGGTAAAATTAGCTGTTTGAAAATAGTTTTTCCTATATATATATATATATATACACACACACACACACACGATTTTTATTTTTTATTTTTTTTACTTTCATTTAATTCATAATAAATTATTAATATACAACTTTTCAATCATTTTTAATTTTTATTTTCTCATTTCATTTTTTTTGAAAATTTTAATTTTTAAATTTAATTTTTTTAGTATTTAATTTTTTTCACTTTATTTTTATTTTTTACATATATTATAAAATATCTTTCAAGAAAAATGATTAAAAAAATTAATTTTCATAACAGACAAGTCCAAATGCTACTCCACTTGGCATTTCAGATTTTAGCTTTTTGGATCAAAATGCCAAGTGAAAAAAGTCATTATCCAAACAATGGTTTTGGCGGTTTGCTTAGTTAAAAAAATCAAAATCAGTCAAAAATGCCAAAAGCTATCCGAAAAATTATTTTCCAAACACAGTCATAATGTGTCCTAATTCCTTAATAGGCTAAAAGAGCAACTCCCTTAACACCTAAAGACTAGAACCAGGAAAGAGAGGCTAAAGGGAGTAAAGGCTCTAGTAATTGAGTTTCCATTTTTTTTTCATTTGGCCATTTGGGCCTTCCGGCGTAGCATATCTGCATATGGGCTTTTAATATTTTGATATTTTGGAGCTATTAACATTTTAATCATTATTTAGACAAAATGGATATACGATTATAGTATTATATAGCATTAATATATATATATATATATATATATATATATATATAAACCCGAAAGGCTCCACCAAAATGGTGGGGTAAGGTTCAGGACGGCCTTACCACTTTATTAAAAGAAGAGCAAATTACAAACTCCGAGGGGACTAGGCCAAAACTCCGATCAAGAAAAGTGTGAAAATTACAGATCTAACATCTATGGCCTTTGTTCCAGCATTCCGAGAGGCCCAGCTCCTCCATCCCATTTGACTTCATTAACCACGTACGTCCTGCGTGCATATGGGTCCATCTTCTGATCCAGTTGATAATGTCGTAGTAAATATTCCTAGTCGAGGCCTTCTCCCCTCCATATACACATGCAGTGTAAGCTTTCCAAATAGCCCATACAATGAAACCCGGAAGGCAAAAGCGTAGTATTCCCCTGAAATCCCTCTTTTTTGACGATAGCCACCATTATAGGAGGTGCTGACGAAGGGTTATTCCCTCATTCCATATAGGGCCATCTGTCCTATTAGCAAAATCTTTCCGTATACCATTAATGGCAGGGCAAGCCAGCAGTGTGTGGTCTTGTTGATCTTCACTTCGTAGACAAAAGACACATTGGGATGGGAGTTGATAGTTGAGCTTACGTAGGTTGTTTGGAAAGCTGCAGCAGTTATTAAGCAATTTCCACTGGAAGAGTTGTATTTTCGTTGGAAGGAGCTTGTTCCAAATGAGTTTAGATGAAAAAAGGGTAGGGCCATTGTCACTAACCAATTCATAAGCCATCTTCATGGTTAGGTTGTGGGGAAGGGAGTACCCAATTCATCATCCTCTAAATTTTCATGAGCTTTGCATATTCTTTTCCACGTTGGGGAGTCCGGGAGATTCGCCTTTATAGCTGCCCTCTTATATATATATATGTGTGTGTGTGTGTGTGTGTGTGTGTTTGTATGTATATATATATATATATATATATATATATATATAATATTCAAACGGTCCGGTATTTTTTGGGATTAAAAGTTCAAGACCAAGTATGTATCCACTATAAAAGGTACGGTCCGGATTCAAGATAAAAATAGAATGAACCTATTTAAAATAATCTTTTTTGGTTTAGTACGATTTTGGTTCATTTTGGTATCATTACGTGTTGGTATTTTTGCTCACTCCTAGTTTTAATTTATAAAAATTCTTATTTGTATCTTAGAATATTGTTTCTTTGTAACATTTCATCACAAACATATAGATTGTCCTATGACCCCCCTTCCCTCCATATTGATTAAAACGATTCTTCTCTCTCGTATTAGTAAAAATATAAAAATATAGATTATTGCTCCTATGCTGAAAAGTATTAGTAAAAATATAAAAAATTATTGGGCAGTTTTTGTTTAATTTTTCAACTTCTTTTTAAATACAAAAATCATTCAAGCCTGCGAGAATATTCTATGCAATACAGAATAGTATTAGAAAACAAAGAGTTACGAATTGAAAATTATATTTTTCATTTGATGTTGTAGTCGAGGCTAATTCCTATTCACATCTGCATGTTAGATTTTCTGCATGTCAGATCAGTAGTCCGTACTTCTCCTTGCCTTTAATTTATTGGTAATCCTTACACATATATCTTTCTTGTCACAGATATGATCTTCGCGCATTCTCGTCCGTAGTTTGATTTTCTTTGTCACAATCTTCTTTGTATAATTCTATGTCATCTCTCCTCTTCTCTTATTAGAATATATACCATAATATGGATTTTCAATGCATGACTGCATAAATGAAAAAGAAGGAAATGAGTCCTCTTTCATTCATAAATTTTTATTTTCAAGAATACATATAGTGAAATATTACACAATAGAAGTTTATAAATGCTAAGGTATATATACCTTAAGAAATATGTAGTACAAATATATTTTAATTAAGATAATTAGTCAAATTACCAATTCGATAAAGTACAAAAATCAAATTAAAGCTTTTTTATAATTTATTTGACTTAAATATTTGATCATTCTAAAAAATAGTTAAGTGGTCTCTTACATAAATATTTTAAATAAACAAAATAAAAACTAACTCCATTTAGATATATCATAAATAATGATAAAAATTATTTGGGTGAAGAGAGTATTTTATATATTTTATTGTTACAAATGAAGTGAAAGATACAAGAGAATACATATATGAAGCAATCCTAATACAAGTAGGAATCAACCACATAATAGAAGTTGACTAATAAGCAAATACTAATATAATTAATACTAATATTATTATTCTCTAGCATATACTAATAAAAGTGGAGTTCCTTATTTCATAATTAGTTTTTTGAAAGAAATATCGTAAGTGCCAAAAAAGAAGTGACGTCGTAGTGTCATCATAAACCAATGTTACCAAAACATTACCATAAAAAATTAGCCACAACGCTTTTAAGTTTGTGCGATATAATTTAGTTTGTTTTTAAATCGGTTGATACTTTAAGAGGGCGTTCGGTAGTGCGATAAATTTCTTGAAAAGAAGACATCATAACACAAAAGCCAATAGTATTTAATCCAAATTCGGTCAAAAGGTACTTTTGGAGCCCAATTTGCACTCAAAAGTCATACGTCATATGCAGAATTAGATTTACCAAACACCTAAAATTATACTTCGGCCAAATAGCTCCAACGCCCTCTGTGGTTTGAAAAATCGGAACCAATACTCCCTCTGTTTTCAAAACTTATTTTAAAGTCGCGTGGTTTCAAGATATTGCACCCACACCCACACTGATCATTTTCTGGTCAATTTCCGACGAAAAGGGGGCATTATTGATGCCTAATTTCTAAACCATAGGGACACTCGTGCACATTTATTATTTTTTGTTTATTATTCTGTTTTTCTCCCCTTTTTAAAAACCTTTTATATCTCTTTTTTAGTTTTCCTAAAAGTTTTTTAAATTTCTTTTCAATTTTTCATATTGTTTTTAAAAATTAAAAATTATTTATGTCTGAAATAAAAATAAAATTAAAAGAATAACATATACTCTATCTATCTCAAATTAAACATTTTAACTTTTTGTTTTTTAGAATTTTTTTCTGGAAAGTT